TGGTTCCTAATGGCAGAAACTCTGGTGTAGTGCCGTCCACAATGCCTGGCACACCTTGGACACTATCCCAGACTCCATGCTGGACGCTAGTCTGTAGCTCTGTGTGACGGTCTGTCGGTTTGCACCCGAAGCCAAAACACGCAGCGCCACGGCCAGTCTTTGGGGAACACTCACGGGTGAACTGTGCGTCGTCCGGCATTGGATGAGGGGTTGTAGACGGCGAACAAGCTCATCAAACTGACACACGGACATCCACAATCCTAGGTAGTTGGTGATTGTCCCTCTTGCGTGGTGTTGTGGAATAACATAGCGCAGACCACGCTTCAAAATTGGGCATAAATCAAAAATATCTGCATCATAGATGCGACAAGCTAACTTTGACACACTGCTGCGGGAGGATAACCAGCCCTAAAGTCTCCTTCAAGTTGCTTCTCAGAACGGCAGATGTCTGGTATTGAACTCGAAGGGTTCAGCAGGATTTGGGGTCTTTTTGGGGGGATGAACACCCGGTGAAGGGTCAGACACCTGACAGATGGCCGCCTCTTCGTCTGCTTGCTCAGTGTCTGCGGCCACGCTGGGCTCCGGCGCCTGTGGTGGTGACGTAGAGAAGCGGGTGCCGCAGGTGAGGTCCCCTCTTCAGGTTATTCATGCTGGCCGTAGAAGACTCAGCGTTCGACCCTATGGAGACCGACGAGTTAAATAAACTGAGGAATGAAGGAAAGTCGCTTTCTACCCATGACAGACAGCTGCTTACCTGCTGGTGTGTGGCTGCTGTGGTGAGGCCTGACTTTGGCGATAGGAGGGACCCCTCTGTACTGGGGACGCAGCATGGGGGCCTGGGGTTGGCCGTTTATATGAAGATGAGGGTCCGACGTGCTGTCCAGAGGCCGGAACCTCTGAGCTGTGATGGCTTTGGTTGGAGGCAGCTGCAAGTGGGAGAAACGGGACGGTGTTAGAGATTCAGTCAGGAGTTACAAGCAGGGGAGAATTTACCATTAGGCAATACTAGGCAGTTGCCTAGGGCCCCAAGTTCCTGGGGGCCCCATAAAACT